TCTCAATTTTTTCAAAATCATCCAGTAACTTTTCAAAAAATTGATTCTTTCAGTGTTTCTTCCTTATTTCTCAAGCAAATCAAGAGCACTAAACCCCTTTTCATTGAAATTAAACACCTATAATCGATCTCAAGCATCAAAAAAAAATAAAAAAAATCATACACATTGGCAAAAGGCAATCGATTGATAGAGAAAACTTATTGAGAAAGAGAAAAATCATACCGACAGATGAAAACCCCAAAGGAGAATTGGAAGAACCGCTAGAGAGGAAAAAGATAAAGGAAACGAGTAGTACCAAAAATACTGAATGGGGTGTGATTTATAGCGTGAACCCCATAAAAGCAAAAAGCTTCTTAAAGACAAATATGACAAAAAAAAAGCAAAAAAATAATTGTTTTAATAGTTGATGAAATATTTTATTCAAAAAAAAATTGAATTCATTCTATATTACTAAATGGGGGCAAGTAAGGTATTTCATTCGTTTCAGTTTATTTGTTTGATCTTGATTTGATACAGAGTTTAGTATTAGTTGAATACGAGATGGATCGGAGTACTGACACTCAAACAACTCTGTAGTGACATGTTTTTTTTAGTTGGCTACTTGAACTTGATTATGAAATAATTGTGTTACGATGATATACGAGAGGAATAGAGAAAAATCTGTGATTAATGTGGAGCGATAGATGGAATTTGTTTGGCTCTCCTATCGAGTTTTAATATTGAGATATCGCGTGGTTAAATTTTTCGAAAGTGTATGTTGACACCTATGGTGAATTCGATTGAAGGGGGAGTACAAAATTTAAGGCTTATTAATTATTACAACTACCTTTTAAGTAAATACTATTTATGTAGATATTTAAAATTAAAAGTCTTGCCCATCTCCTATTTAAAATTAAAAGTCTTGCCCATCTCCTAATCTTTTAATTTTGTTTCCCTTTCATTTAATTCATAAAGTCAACATGACTGAGATTAGAAGCTAAAATATCTCTCTTTTTTTCTTTTTTCTTTTTTTTTTGCTTATATTCATAATATTAGTTTAATAGGAGTGAGGCTTTGTAAGGTAAGCCATAGATTTTATGTGAAAGATTAATGTGTGGATGTTGATTAGTTAAACTAGAGCTCATAGAAAGGGGATGACAATCAAATATACAGTCATAATAGCTAACATTTACCCTTTGTGCACTATATAATTTTCATACGAAGAGCGAACACTGAACCATCTTTAACCTAAGGTGGCTCCGCCCATGGTGACACCCCAAATATCTAAAAAAAAAAAAAGTGTTAGCGGGGAGACCATCTTCATTGATGGTGAAATGAAGCCAATATAGAGACAATTTTACCACTGAAATTTGAACTTCAGAAACATTGAAGAACAAACATAATGCCAAAAGAAGAAACATAGCATATAACACAACTATACAGACGAATCTCAGGTTTATCAAGTTATAATTCTTGCAGTGCCAAAGGCAAAGAGGGAAAATATAAAAGAGCTACATCTGTACCATTTTACAAGAATTTTTCTATGCAGGCCGTCAACGTTGTTTTAGGGACTGCACCAATGACTGTATCTTTCTTCTCTCCATCCTTGAAAATCATGACGGTTGGGATACTTCGAATCCCATATCTGGTCGCGATGCCAGGACTTTCATCCGTGTTCACCTTGAAGAATTTAAACTTGTCGGCAAATTCCTGTGATAGTTCATCAATAACCGGGTGAATCATTCGGCATGGACCACACCATGGAGCCCAAAATTCAACCAGAACAGGTAACTTAGACCCGATTACAAGAGTCTCCCATGATTGATCATTAACACCAGGCACTGCATTTTACAATAACTATGTTAAATAAACAAAGAAGCTGATAAATTGATGGATTTGCTGCTAAAACTATGGTTTTAGCACACCCTAATATGTATTCCACTTCATGTAATACCTCGACAACCAAAAATTACAACATAAGAAACCGATGCATCATATTTGTTGCATTATTCCTTGTGATTAGTCAGAGTGCTGGCTAGCATGGAAGATTTGACAACAGAGGGTTACATTTTTCTAACTAGGATTGTTATTATTACAAGGGCAACGCCTGTGTTCTCACACAAAAATGCACAAGTGATTCATCCTCTTTTTACGCTTTTACTAGAATAGTAATGTACCTCATAGGAGTTCAAATATTTAACAGTAAATGAAGTTCAAAGCTTGGGTAGGTTTTATTAGCGTTTACCCTCTCCAAATATGTATTCATTCCACATTAATGGATTTACTTCAATGCTTTTACAAGCATCAGGCAATTCTAGTTTATGTTGTTTGGACTCTTAAAAAATATGGACGAGTTTGTGTAAGATCCTCCACAAGTAGTGCATTGTTGAAGGATTTGACACGGATACGGCAACAATTATGGAGAGTCCAAACAACATAGATTCTAGTAGTCTTTCCACTCATTTGATTTCCACATTGTTCGTAGAAACTTGATTTACTCTTTAATGTGCAGTTGAATATCCAACTCGAATGTCATGGAACTGACTTCCCATCAAATTTAAGATAGTATGATAATCTGGTAAATAATTGACAATCGCAGCAGTAGATAGCTGAATATCTTTGAATCATGACAACAAGACTACTCTGCCATATGGGTGGATGTAGTGTTAATGTTACGGATTTGTCCAAACTCGGTAGCTTTTGCTCACTAGTCAGTAGTCAGTACTCACTCTGCCCAATATGTGAAAGGGTACAACATACGAAGGTCAAAACATTTGATTTTAACTATGAATTCACGTATAAATTCTTAAAAATTTTAACAAATAAAATTTATAAATAAGAAAACACACTATAAGTAAACATAGCTAATAATTTAAAACAACAAACAATAGCAATACCCCCAAGATAATTGCGGAGGGTAGAGTGTACACAACCTTACCCCTCTACGTAAGAGGTAGAGAGATTGATTCTAATAGACCTTCGCTCGAGTAATGCACATCAAAGAAGTTTAAAAATAAAAATACACAAATAAAGAGGACACAACAAATATTAGGGAAAACATTACATAACATAATTCAGAAACAACTAATAACAACAATAGCCAAATAATATGATAACCAAAACACAGAAAATAACGGATAGTAACAGAAATCATCTGAAAAGAAACTACGAGAACAATGCTACTACAACTAGTATGAACATAGAAACAGCTACAGTGCACCAAACTACCATCAACCCCATCCAGCTGGAAAGCAAGACAATACTCAACTACCTGCTATGCTAGAATGAAGAATCCCAAACTCGAACTCGTAAAGTTCAAATCCTGAATTATCTTTGCTTTCCCACTTTCAATTGCGTGTTTAATCATTTTTTTGGTCATAATTTAAGCTTTAACAAAAAAAATCCCCAAATAACTCAAACTACAGGCAAAATTCAAGTAGCTAGTATATAATTAATAAGGATGAAAAAAGAAATAAGTACCTAGAACAGCAGTATCCTGAGCCTCACAAACGATTCTTCCTCCTCTACGGGTAGCCGATTTCGAAAATGAGCTTAAGGACACTGATGAACGAGTCGACTGGATCTTAAGACCATTGAATACAGAGAATTTAGCAGAAGACCGGCGACTGGAAACAGGAGACAACGACGGCAAAGCAGCGCCGGCGGCGGCACGAGGAACTGCGATAGTTTCCAGCAAACCAGCCATGGGCAGAGTTGATAAATTTGTGTGGCTGAGTAGAATTTGTTTGTTTGTTTTTTCAGAGTTTTGGTTTTGGGTATTTTGTTGATAAAATGGATGAGGTGATGAATGTGTGTTAGTTGATTGGATGAGGAGGAGCTAATGTTCACCATTACACGTGTCACTTTCACTTCAATTTTTATTTTTGGAAAATTTTGATAAATAGAAATAGATTTTGAGTTTAAAAACTTATTTTTAAAAAAATTATGTCATAAACATATTTGTATTATAGTGAAAGTCTATTGCGTGGATTCATTTGGAGAAAAGCTAGGGATTTACTTAGGGATCGAGTCAGTTTTTCCTATAGAAGAAGTGTTCTCCTTGAAATCAGTTTAGAATATTTATTGAAATCTTTCTCTCGGTATTGATGTTTTAGAATACTTATTGAAATATTTCTCTCGATATTGATGTTGTAGGAGCACTTTCGAGGCATGAAAAGTGGAGAACGTCTTTTCAACATATCAATATCACTATTCGATCGTTTTTCTACATAGTTTAATTGAGAAGTAATTTGAACAAGGCAGAATTGTACTCATGAATAGACTTAAAGTCTTGTAGCCTCAAATGCATCCATTCATATCGTGTTTTTGGATATATGATCATCTTCAAGTGGTCATATCTTTCTTTCATGTCTTTCTATAAAAATAAGTAGAGAATTTGATCACGATGAACATAAGAATATCACAAGTTTAGCACAATTTAGTTTTGATTCTTTATTTTCATCCTTAAATGATGTCTCCAAGTCTCATAGCATCCAAATGAATTTCAACATCTAACACTGATGAAAGATAGTTTTTGTCTGAATTATAAAAGGTAGCGAACTCAAGATTAGCCATATTAAAAAAAAATAAAAAAATAATACATTAACCTTCAAACTTAACTCATTGCCTTTCATAGATCAGACAAGAACTGTCTTTCATGAATGTTGGATGCTGAAATTCTTTTGGATGCAAACACAATTAAGGATGAAAATAAAGTATCAAAATAAAATAGAGCTAGAGCATATATTTAAAGATCCACTTGTTTTATGGAAAAGCACGAAAGAAAGATATAACCACTTGAAAGCGACGATATGATTGAATGCCTCTAAGGGAGATGTTCTCCCAAGGTACTTTCCCTAGAAAACAGTTACCAAAATAAGCAGATTTTGAAATTTTAGCTCCACAAGCTTATATGTTGCTGATGAAATGCAGATACTTGGCTCTAGTGGTTTCTTATAATATGTCTATAGACAAAGCTAGATACAAAAGAAAGAAATCTTGAACAAGCTAACAATTTTGATACCAAGAGTTAACAAACAGTTACTTGATCAATTAGTTGAAATGAAAAACTATGTCATAGCAGCCATATACAAATTATCATCCACAAACATGGACACTCTGCTGCATGATTCAAGTCTGAAAACTAGTTTGTCAACATAAGGTGTATAACAGTATTGAAGTCTATATATGGTCAGCAGTCTCCATCTTAACTGGAGTTACTCTGGTTGACGCCTTTTCTGCCAAAGGAAGAAACTTATCACAATCCTCGCAACCAATCTTTTTGAATGCCTCTACAAGTACCTCGATGAATCCCGCCAACATGGCCTTGAAACTCCGAGAACAACCTTTATCACCACCATCCTCGAGAACGCAGCCTCTAACAAGGCTACCCACACGAGCACCTTCCATATATGCTTTACATGCCACAAGAATATCTTGACAACTTTGAAAGTAATGCCCTATAACAAAATCCTCAAAGTGCTGCAGCAAGAAAGCAGAATGTTCAAATTTGTAGTACTTGATTTAGAACGAAAAAGTCACAAAACTATACCAACTATAACAATAAAGTCACCTTGACGATTAAGTTTTGTTGTTATAAGGAAAAGTCTAGTGACTAGACTGTTATAATGGTGAAGTTCAGCATCTCTATTGACAAAATAGTCATGACTTTGTTGTTGTTACAGGGGGAAAGTTTAGTCACTTTGTTGTTACAATGTTAAAGGTTCAGTTACTTTAACGAGACATTAAAATTTAGTTTTGTAACTTTACTGTTCCAACAGATAAATCCCAAGGAAAAAACATCGCAAAGCATAATTGAAAAGTTTATTAAGTTATAGATGGTCATGAACGATATACCTGTGGTGGTCGCCTCATACAAAAGACCATTGTCTTTAGATTAAAAATGCAAGTGTGCTCGTTATAGCGCAGTGAGTTTCGTTCCCCTATGGCTGAGCCATTCATCTTGGCATATCCAGGCTCATTGAAATAGGGCTTTGCGTTCAATATTAGCCCTTGTATGGAAACCAAAACTTGCAGCATAGTTGATTCACCAGGGATCCATTTCTCCTTCCCTCTACCACCCCAAGTGTTAAGAAGGCTCAGGCAGACTTTTCCACACTCATACAAGTTTGGATTGATCCGAAGGCCAAAAGAATGGTAGTGTACATGCTGGCAGCAATAATTAGCAAGGTGTTAGGCATGAGGTTAAAAAGAGGAAGAAAAAAAATAGAACAGTTCCACAGATAAATTGAGGCATCTTAGGCGAAAAAGAAGGCAAAAACAAAGTAGTCAGAGAAGAAATGAGACACATACCGGTGGAACATTGGGATAGTTGCTAGGGAAGTAAACATCAAAAAAGAACAAACCGTCATGGTAAGGAGTTCCATCAGCTCCAATAATTACTGCTCTCAACAGATCCATTCTTGTTTCATACACCCGGACAAATATGGTATCTGCTCATGAAAAGGCACTCAGATGAGTGTGGTTATATGAAATACGACAAGCAGAATTTTATCGCTGATCACATTATGAGCTCCTCAGAAAGTCATTACTTGAACAAATTTTGTAAGCATGTATGCCAAATTTCAATAACTTGATGCCAAGACAATCATCACAGATCAGGTAGGAATGCTAAGAAAGACTGGAAAATTTGTTCATGTTACCAGGTAAATCTTTCTCCAGTATCTTCCACTCCTCCTGTATCCTCTTGGCACAACCCTTAGAGGCCTATACAGAACAACAAACATTTAGAAATAAGATAATGTACGACTATTCAAAACTATAAACCACCTACAGTTAAACCAACCTGGTTGTCATGAGATGCAAGTCCAGAAAAGTAATTGCCTGAATGATCTTGAACAGTATCAAATTTCTTGAAAAGACGGAAATTCTTCAGACTTTCACCTAAATCTCCATGTTGTTCCATAGTAGGAGCTGATTCACATTGGAGTGATAGACTTGCACTGTTATGCGGACCATGCGTCCAGAGTTCATGATCCATTTCCTGATGGAAATAGTGCATAGCACCTGGTGCAAGAACAGGCCCCGTAGAAAGCTGTTCTGGAAGAAAATAGTTCATAGCATCTGGTGGGAGAATATACCCTGGATGAACCTGTTCCAGTGGAAGAGAGTTCATATCACCTGGTGCAAGCATAAACCCTGGATGAACCTGATGCAGAGGGAGAGGGTTCATAGCACCTGGTGTGAGCATAAACCCTGAAGAAGCTTGAGCAGTTGGCATATTAGGGGGACAATTCATCCAACTAGGCATTGGTGGAGGTACAAAGTGAGCTGTAGGGAACGGAGCTCCACCAGGAATAGATGGAGTACGCCAACTATGAGAAACTGTTCCAGGCGATAAATGGATCTTCCTTCTAAGACGAGACCCTTGAATGTTAAGAGATTTTTCTACCCCGGGCGAAACATTTGTAGAACCATTTTGTTCTTTAAAACATATCCCCTTTGAGTTTGCTTTGGCAGAAAATTTGCCCTTGACAACAGCAGGTCCCAGAGATGACGAAGATAGCTCAAATGGTGTAGGCTTAAAAACATGATTTAAGTCATAAAATGAAGTGGACGGGTACTTTGGTACCTCAGGGGTTTCTCTTCCAAAAGGAGAATTCAGAGCTTTTGAAGTGGACGATGTGCTTGTAGTGGTTGATGCCATTTTAGCTTTAGCAAAACCAGACATCCATGGGATTGGAACCTCAACTCCGGGTGGAGTATCCATATGATCAAAATGTGATTGCAAAATGGCATAGTCGTGATGTGCTAGGTCATTAAAGTACATGTCCATAGACGGATCATCTTCATAAAAAAGGTTCGCAGGCACTTCACCTGATTCTGAAGGGCAGTGCTTCTTCGAAGACTGAACTTGACTCGGTCCAACACTATATTCTGAACCACCACAACCAAGGGATAGCTCGAGAAAATCCTGCGAATGAGGCAAGAATTTACAAAATAACCCCCAACAGAAAACACATAAAACACAGAGATAATCAGTACTTCAGGAGTATGCTAAGATCTTTGTAATATCTATGGTAAATTCTGATTACCTTCCCTTTGCCACGGGATCCAGTATTCCCATCAATGAACATCACATCATTATCACCTCCTTTCATGTCAACATCTCCATGGTGAATAGGCTAAAAAATGAACACACTTCATCAGCGTTAGTACCATGTACTACAATCAAGTGTTACCCCTGCACGCAATAATCTCAAAACACAAAAAAATAAAGATTCAAACCAAAATATCTATGCAAGTCCTGTATAAAAAATTGAAAAATAAAGACAGAAGTCTTGCACATAGCAAGTTGTATGTAATTTTTTAACGAAAGGCTAGTGGGCCACATTGCACGCTGTTAGTAATGAAAAAGACTATTTCATGACTATATAGCATTAAGCCATTAACAATGTGCATTTGTTTTTAGGTCAATAATCGATAATTATGCTTCTCGTTTGTTTCTATTCAAGCCCCAACATTAGTTTATCTGTTGAAGGAATACACTCGTGCACCATTCAGACAAAAACTTGAGAAACCTGATTCTAGCCTAAGTCTACAGCTAGTTTGCGTTTCTTTTACTAGGTTGTGTGTATATTTCCCTGTTTAAAGAGAATGATAAGTGAAAACCAACAACAACAAAATTTTATCTCTTACAACCTCCTAAACTGACTTGCCCATATTCTCAACAGATTTGAAACTCATCACTGCTATACTTCACACTAATTCGTGAATCTTAGGAAACCTGTGATGTTAATTAACTTGACTTCAGTATTTCAAAAGAAAAAACGGGACTTTTGCATTACATAATCTAACTTTTATTGTGATTCAAGAAACTGTACATCTCTAATACAGAGAATTATTGGGATCTTCACACAAATAGCTGGACAGATTTAGTGTTTACTTTTTCTAGCCGGTATACATAGATTATACGTATTATACATCCGCCGGCAATTTTTAGTTTAATCAGTTGGGTGGACGGCTATTTACGTTAATGGCGGAAGCTTCTTTAAGAACCTTCACAGTACAATTTATCTTAGAGAAGGAACCAAATAAAAGAATTTTATACCTCCTTCTGTTTAGCACTCTCTGATTTTGAAATCCAAGCAATCGGGGCCGAGACTTCCGCCACCTGCGCATCGGTTGAGCTCCCACCAGGGAACACTCTTTTCCTGTGCATTAATTCCATCAGAATCACACAGACCAGCACAATGAAAACAAAGAAAATCAAATTGGTCTGTTTTACTTGGAATTATGGGAAACACTCTTTAACTGTGCATTAATACCATCAGAATCACACACTCACACAATAAAAACAAAGAAAATCAAATGGGTATGTGTTTTACATAAAAATCTGCTGAAACACTCTTTTCCTGTACATCAAGAACATCAGAATCACACAGACACACAAAATGAAAACAAAAATAAGAAGAAAAGAAAATCAAATTGGTATTTGTTTTACTTGAAGTATTTTGGAAACACTCTTTTCCTGGGCATCAATAACATCAAATCAGACACACAAAATGAAAAGAAAATAAAAGAAAACAAAATCATATTAGTATGTTTTTTACTTGAGGTTCTTTGGAAACACTCTTTTCCTGTGCATCAATAATATCAAGAATCACACAAAATAGAAGAAGAAAAATAATCAAATTGGTATGTGTTTTACTTGAAATTCTGTGGAAACACTCTTTTCCTGTGCATTAATAACATCAGAATCACACAAAACCATGGCGGAGCCAAAAAAATTTACCAAGAGGTTCGACATCTGAGGAAGTAAACACACGAAAAGGCCAAAGAAGGTTTGACGTCTACTATATACATAAAAAATAATTTTTATTCGTGTATAAACAATGTAATTTTCTGTCAATAGAGGTTCCGACTACGGATGAACCCACCTCGAGACCCTACCTGGCTCCGACCTGACACAAATCCACATAAGGTGAATAAAAAATCCTAAAAGAATAACAGTATCAACAGAATCACACCAAAAAAAAAAAGAACCAAATTAAATGAAAAGCATTGAATGGTTCTGTGTTTTGCTCAAAATTCTGGTGAAACACACTTCATTAAAGCATCAGAATCACAAATAAAGGAAACAAACTAAAAAAGATTCTATCTTTTTGCTCTAACTTCAGGTGGAACACTCATTTCATATGCATATACACCATTAAAATAACACTAGAAAATAAAAATAACAGTCAAAAAATACCAAATGGCCCTTTTCTAATGCACTAGTATCATCAAAATCACAGTCACCAGATTAAAAAAAATCTAAAAAAACCATCAAACATGCAATTTTTTTTACTCAGAATTCTAGTAAAACACTCTCTTTCCTGTCAAAAATAACATAAACAAAATACAAACAACAGAAGAACATCAAATGCAGTATGATTTATTAATCAAAATTCTCCACTTACATACAAAAAAAGAAAAAAAATCATTTTGTTTCTATGCAACATTTTTAGATTCAGGGACCACATAAAGGGGGAAAAAATTTAACTTTCTGAGACTTTGCTATTTACTCGGAATTCTCTTTTTATATACCTGATTAAAAAATAAAAATCCCCCAAATCAAAATGAACACAGATTAAAATAAAAATGGAAACTTTTTTTAAAAAAAATACCAAATTGGTATGTTTTTTATTCAAAAATCGCTTTGGCTTCATCACCATCATCAAAATCAACAAAAACCCAGATACCCAAGTGGGGTCTGGATGATGTGTACTCAGCTTACGCCTAAAAAGACTATTTTCGATAGACCTCAATTAAGAAAACTATAAAAAAAGAAAAAGATCCAAATGGGTATGTGTTTATACTAAAAAAAAAACTAATCTTTATCTACACATCAAAATCAACAAAACCCAGATACCCAAATGGGGTCTGGATGATGTGTATTCAGCTTAGAGGTAAAAAGACTGTTTTCAATAGACCTGAGTATAAAAAAGAAGAAGATTCAAATGGGTATGTGATTTTACTGAAAAAAGGTAATCTTTATCTACATATCAACAAAATCCAGAAAAAAAAGTGATGAATCAGTGTTTTTACTTGGAATTCTGAGAGATGTATCGAGACGGCGGTAACTCCATTAATGGACTGCAGTTTTCAGAAGAAGAAATGTGAATGAAGAGGAAGGAGAGGCAACTAGGGCTTTAACTACTATGGTGATCAAAATCTTGTTTTTATATATAGAAATTACGTTATTGCAATCTCTTCTCTACAGAAAAACCAAAAACTCTTTTATGGCTGATTTGACAATTTTTAAGTGTTTACTGTTTACTTGCTTTTTCAACGTGTCTTCCCCTTTTTGACACGCCTTCGCGCCTCCACCTCGGTTTCAATGTTTCATACTTGTCAAATGACCAAAATACCCTTATATATGTAACGAACATTTTCGACACGTCTTCACGTCTAGTTAGAATACAACGTCATAGAGTTTGGAGAGCATGGAGTGTACACAAATTTTATCTTTATCGCAGAGATGGAGAGACTGTTTTCGATAGATCCTAAGCTTAAGATAAGACACGTTGAAAAGGCAAGTAAACAGTAAACACTCTCTCGAAATGACTAAAATACCCCTAATATATGTAACGAACATTTTTGGCACGTCTTCGCGTCTAGTTAAAATACGACATCGTAGAGTTTGGAGAGCATAGAGTGTATGCAGATTTTATCTCTATCGCAGAGATGGAGAGATTGTTTTCAATAGATCCTAAGCTTATTAAGATAAAACACATTGAAAAGGCAAGTAAACAGTAAACACTCTTGAAATGACTAAAATACCCCTTATATATGTATCGAACATTTTCGACACATCTTCACATCTAGTTAGAATACCACGTCGTAGAAGTTTGGGGAGGATAGAGATTAGAGTGTATGCAGATTTTATCTATATCGCAGAGATGGAAATACTATTTTCGATAGATCCTAAGTTTAAGATAAAAAAATAGTCTAGGAAATTAAAGAAGTAATGAAGAATATAAGAAACAAAATAGAGAAACAAAAGCATGAGATAGAGAGTAGTAGAATAATACGACAACAAGATAATATTATAATTAAACTATATGAAACAAAATAATAGTAACTGAAGTCGAAAAACAAAAAACTATAAGAGTAGTACTATGAATATTAGTATGGATAGCAAGACGATACCTCTTACCTATTAGTATGAACACTTTCTTACCTGCTATTCTTCTTACTCTAGTTCATGTCCTCCACACTTATCTATCTAGTGTCAACCTCGATTAGTTATAAATGTGTCATATTCTGTCTAATCACATATTTTTGTGATATTTCTTCGATCTACATATATCTACCTCTCTTGAATCTATCATAGACAACCTCGCACACCTTCGTACTAAGGTAAATGTGTTTTTCCTCATCACATGTCTCAACCATTTCAATTTCACTTCTCACATCTTGTCTTCCATTGAAGTCGCTCTCACTTTGTCTCGGATTTCCTCATTTTTTATTATATTTTTCTAGTATACGCACACATCCAACACAACATTCTCAACTCTAACACTATTTTCTTATTTTCTGAGTGTGAGAGTTCTTGAGTTGCAAACACTCCTCATACAACAAAGTTGGTCTAACTACCACTTCGTAGAACTTACTTTTAAGTTTTAGTGGCACATTCTTATCACATAAGGCATCGGATACGAGCCTCCATTTCATCACGCTGCACTAATACGGTGAATGACATATCCTCATCAATCTCCATATCTTCCTAGATAATCGACTAGAGATATTTGAAATTGCCTCTCTTTTGAATGAATTGTGTATCAAATCTTACTTCTACATCAACCTCATGTATGATATCACTGAACTTGCACTTCACGTATTTTGTCTTGGTCCAATTCAACCCGAAATCTTTAGACTCTATGATTTGTCTCCAACTTTCTAGCTTAGTGTTTAACTCCGTCGCGAGTCTCATCAATCAAAGCTACATCATCCGCAAATAACATACAACATGACATATCATCTTGAATTTGTCATGTGCATTCATCACCAAGGCTAATAAAGATAGACTAAGGGTTGATCTATGTTACAACCCCATCAAAATGAAAAAGTGCTCTAAGTATCCTTTCAATTTCTTTACTCAGATCTTGTCCTCCATTGTACATGTCCTTGATCAATTTAGTGTAAGTCACGGGTACACTTCTAGCCTCCAAGCATCTTCACAAAATCTCAACAACAATCATATATAAGCCTATTATGTTAGAAGTTAGGTTTAAAATAGCCTCTTAAGTTAGGTTTAAAATAGCCTCTTAAGTATTGAACAATTTTGATTATTTAAATTTATCAAAATAGGGAATATTTGATACGCAAACGGAATAAAGTAAATGTCAAATTTTATTTTGAACTTAATCACTGTTAATTTTTTTTCAAACTCTGTTAAAGGAAAAAGATATATACATATATGAGTTCTTTGTGTAACAGTAAATGTATATCTGAATTATTTTTATAACGATATTTATATCAGCTCTAAAAAGCATTTTAAATTTACAACTATTAAACACGAGGGATATTTTTGTCATTTCCTCTCATTGGTCGCAAATGTTATGGTTTTATCTTCCTTGGCGACAATGGAATATGTGGGTCCCAGATTGCATTATCCAGCGACATAGGATAAAGTAATTAACCATTTGGAACTTCAAGGAGAAAAAATTGTATCTTGAACTAATACAAATATTAAAGTTTTGATTCAGGTAATTAATTTGGAGCAAAGTTTACCTTAAACAACATTTTAAGAATAACAATTGTGAATTTTCATATCAATAAAAAAAAATTACTTTAGTTATAAAAATAAGTCATCTTAAAGGGGCAAATAGCTACCATTCATCTTACGAATTTTGCAAAATTCAATAATTTTTTCTATTTGTATTTATCATTAAGTAGATATAGATTCTTTATTTATAAATAATTTATTCAAAATCTAATCATCAGATTTTCTACAATTCAAAAATTATAAGTTTAAAATACATTTGATGAGATCTAAATTGGACTATTAGAATCAAATCGACACGGAAAATAAATACTACAATTTTAATCAAGTAAATTCAATCAATATCGATTCAAACACGAAATTTAAAGATAGAGAGGAATAAGAGAAGAGACGAAAGAATGGTTAATTGAATCCAAAATTAATTAAGGAAAAAAAAACTTGAATTCAATATAAAAGAGAAATTCACTTGAAATCTACAAATGAGTGACCCAATATAAAATCAAGAGCAAGTAATTTTCGATCAACAATGAAAATCGATCCATCAAACTAAGCTACAATAAGTTATCCTAAAATAGGGATTTCATCATCTACAAGATATCAATATCTCAATTCATCATCTCAAAACAATCTAAAGAACAAAATGGCAAAGAAATTTGTTTATAAGATGTTTCTTACAAGAGTAGTCTTTTTATACAAATAGCCCAAAAATGACTTATTCAAACTATTTAAAATATAGCCAAAATTATATTACTATTCCTTCCCGCCTACCCCTCAACTCAAATCTATCCATTTTGGCGAGAGTGAGGCGAGTTTGGCTATCACATTGAGCTCGTCACGTGGCTTTGAATATAACTTAATTATACGTGAGGTGTACACTAACTATACATGAAGTATATACGAACTATTCAATTCTGACTAACTCAAAATTTTCTCTAAACAATTCTAAATTTTAAATATGAAATCCTCTCTATGTTTCAATTTTTTGATATATAATTTACTTAAAATGATTCACATTTACAGTACATCAATTTTTTTAAAAAGAGCAGAAGAAGGACGAAGTAGAAGAAAAAGATTAATAAATGATGAGAAAAGCATCACGAAAAGAATAGATCCAAACTTGGAAGAAGTAGATGTAGTTGGTAAAAAAAGAGAAGGGTGGATTGAAGGAATTTGGCACTAGTCATCCATAACCTTCGGTCTATTGTTAACTTCATTGTGTGTCTCGTCAATTATAATATGTTATTGACAAATAGAATATACTATGATATCATAGGATATGTTATTCATCACCAAAACATGTTAACCATGTTGCAATTCCATCTCGGTAATTGCTCCGGCCTCTGAATCTCCTTCTATTGTCCTCACCCGAGTCTTGACTTCATCATATACCCTTGTCTTTAATCGTCCTAACTACAAGTATACATTTAGCCTCAAAACATCTCATAGAACACCTAGGGACTTTATCGTATAATTTTTTAGGTCAATATAAGCATTATATGCAAGTCTTTCTTACTCTCCCTATACTGCTCCAAGATCATCTCTGAAAGAGATGAATGACTTCTAAAGTGGAACACCTCAACATGAATCTAAATTGATTCTTGGTAATAGACACAATTGGCCTTATCCTTATCTCCATCGCCCTCTCTCAAACTTTTATAGTGTGGCTTAGCAGTTTGATACCCCTATAGTTATTGCAATTTTGAATATCACTCTTATTTTTATATAATAAAATTATTATACTCAATCTCCACTTTTCAAACATTTCTAATATCCTAAAAATAACATTAAACAACTCAATCGATCATCTCGTAATATTAACATATTTTTTATTCCCCTTGTTAGAATTCTTGATTTTACCACTGATGAAAGAGACTATCCTTTGAACTCTCATCTCATGAAAAACTTTATCATCAAATGACAAATAAAAAATAGAATATTGGAATTTTCTTTTTTGATAATTTGATTATTGGAATTTTCCATATGTCCAATGTAGATATACATAATTTGTTAATTTTGTTTATTTCCCAAAAAAAATCAGTGGATTATTGAGGACCATCGAATAAATTATTTTTCCTTTAAATAGATTAAAAGGTAAAAGGCATTTTTCACAAAGAGTTTCAAGAATCTAGATGAGCTGAAGGTTGAGAATAACCATTTTTTATACTGATTTAATACCTAAAAGAACCCCTAAACTATTTCTGTTTTATCAATTTAATACTTAAACTATGGATTGTTATTATTAGCTAATTAATAATTGCATAGTATCAGATTTTAAGTTGCATACATCCAGATATATGTATTTTTGCTACAAGACACACTACAATAGGAAGAGAGACAAGTAAGATAGGAGAGATGCGAGTGAGAGAGTCAGGTACCTATGAATCTACTTGGATACCATGTATATATAGAGAGAGAGAGATCAAATTGGATCTAATTTTGACCCCATATATTTGTGATACCTGTATCTAGACGTATTTGGACGTGTCATATACATGTATCCAAAGTCCAAAATCTAATAAAGTTCATAATATTGTAAACTGTCGTGAATCTAAGTAATTAACTCCTAAACTAGTGAGATTTATGTAAGTTGCTCGTAAATATATTATGAATTTTATTACTTATTAGGCTGATATAAAATGTAAAAATGCTTAAACTCCCATATCTAAAAGAATCAATAGTGATTTGAGTAGTAAATTCGATCAAGTAAAGAATATTGGAGAACATGAAGGTGACATGAGAGGATGAAAAAAACCAGGCCTAAGGCACTATTCGGTATTCGATATTCGATATTCGTTTTGGGGTCTGATTAATTCGAATTTCCATAAAAAAAGTCTCACTTTGAATGATAAAATGTTCTCTGTACCAAAGACAATTCCATATTTGAAGTTCAATCTCAAAATCTCTAATTACCACTCCACCACAACATTTGACGATAAATAAGGCCCTCCTCCCCTTTTGTAGATTCCTTTGTCCAACTTTTTTGTTAAAAGCTTTGTGCTCTCTTTTCTAGCCCTATATGCCAACTTGTCCTTAATTTCCATCTATAAATAGCAACTCAATCTCATAGTTATAATTCAAGGCATAGCAAATTCATAATATATACTTGCTCTCCTATATAACTAAAAAACTCTATTTCATCCCCCCTTAGCTTCAATCTCCTAAACATGTCGAACAAGTGTGGTAGTTGCGATTGCGCTGACGTCAGCCAATGCGTGTAAGTAATTATTGACCTTTAAATTTATGTGACGTAGTTTAACTGAGCACGAATTTAACAAAGAAAAAAAAATACTACTTTTAAAAGTTGTGAATGGATGGAAGTGTCATCAATTTTCTTCTAATATTAGTTAAGTTTCGTGTATAATCATATCTAAGAGAAAAATGCCTTTCCACTTTCGAAAAAGGTAGAGGTGGATTTAATATTTTAAGTTTATTGGTGTGAAACATTGTTCAAGATAATTAGGTGTCATGAAGCTAGCAAAATAAGCATCAAAAGACAATACGTAAGAAGATAAAAGAGAAATATATCAATAGAGAAATAAATATTTAACGTGGTCCAATCAATCGATCTAATTCACAAGAGAAGATGAGTAATCCACTATATAAAAACGAGTACAAAATATTGAGAGAAATAACCTCATAAATTTTACTCAAACTAAAAAAAGGTACACAAATGATATACCGTAATACTTGTATCTCACAAACATGACTACCACGTCCATTAATTCTTTATCACAATTTATGTCAATGCATATAACTATATATTTTGATTTTTTTTAAATTTTTTAATTATATATAGTTCAAATAAAAAATAACGTATAGCGATGTAAATTAATGTTTGTAAATATTGCAGGAAGAAGGAAAACCAATATGGTATCATCATCGTAGATAAGAGGTAATTAACTCCCCGAAAACAAGAATATAACTTGAAATAAACAAAATTACCCCTATATATTGATTCATTTTTTCTATACCAAAAGATAAATTTATGTACTAATATTTTAAATTTTAACTATTGATGTTTCTATTTCCAAAGTCAAATGATTTTTTTTAATCATGATTTATTAATTATTGTGACTTCTAAAACTTTTTAGATAGTTTATAAATATATAAATTTTATTTTATGATAATTTTTAAAAAAATACTTGCCGAATTAACACCCAAAATTAGTTGATTTTTTACTCTCATATTTCGAATCAGAACACAAAACACTATTAAAAAAAGTCACTATTTTTTCATTAAAATTTGCCACTAAAAAAATAGTTAAATGAAGATCTATTTTTACCATGCTCTTTTCTAGTGATTTTAAAAAATAAATGAAAAAAAATTATATTTCGTCACACAATTTTTTATTGATTCGTAATGGAAAAAACTTCATAGGCTTGTAAATTGAAACAAAGGGAGAGCAAAGTAGATTATTTTCTTAATTCTTTCTATGAAATTCTTGCCTCTTAATTGTCATCAAATTTGTTGTTGTATACGTTGTCTTTTTGTCTTTCTTCCTCTTGTAGTCCGGGGTGTGGAGCTACAAGTCTGAATATAAATTCGTCAAATTTATTAACTTTTACTCAAAAAATGTGTTTATATAAGAATTTTATTAAATATATTCAAATATCAAATTTAGAATACAGTTATTACTATTTAAAATAATCATTATATAAATTTTTAAATATCTATACAATTAAAATTCTGACTTCGCCTATGTTGCTAACACAGCGAGACGGTGGTGATGATGGATGTTGGAGCTGAAGAACATGATGGAAAATGCAAATGTGGCAGTAGTTGTGCCTGTGTGAACTGCACTTGTGCTCATTAAGAATGTCAAGAGCAATTTATCTAAAACTATATGAGTGATATGTGTTTAAATAAAATAACAATATTACTTTGTTATCTATGGTGAAATAAGAGTTCCTTGTGCTAAACACAAAATGTAAAGGAGTTAGTACTCTACTTAGTGTCTTGTTTCTTTGGTCAAGTTTGTAGCACAAGTTTTCATTGTTAAATAGACTACTACTACTACTACTTTACTTATTCCGTCCGTTTCAATTTATCTAACCTACTTAAATTTTTTTAGTCTACTTCATAAAAAATAACTATTTCCCTTATAAATGATTCTTTAATGTCACCTTTCCACCTATACTTTCAAATAACTCCGTATCTTTTCATTAATTAAGAGTTTAATATCATATATTGAAAAAGATTTACCTAGATATATGCATTTTTGCTACGAAATATACTAAAATAGAGAAAGACCAGTGAGATGGGAGGTAAGATAGTCATATATCCCAAATATATGAGAATCACACTAGATATATGTATTTGGTATGATTCACATGTATTTATGATACTAGATACATAAAAGAGTGACAAGGGAGACAAACGAATTTTGTTATGTATTTCTAATATATGCAAATATACAATGTATTTAGAATAACTTATACCTAATTTTGACCTCATATATTTCGAGATACATATATCTGGACGTATCTGAATGCTCAAAAATCTGATAAAATTCATAATTGTAAACTAAAGTGTATCTAAATAATAATATCTTAAACTAGTGGAATTTTGATATGCTCCCTATCTAATTATCAGGCTTCTTTATGGTTTGGCCCAACAACTTGGCCAACCTTTGTCCAAATAAATGGCCCATAAGAATTATCTGAGTTATCCATATTATTTACAACAATTTTTATGTATATATATTTAACTATGTATAAATAATATAATTTTTCATCGATTTTTTTTCAAATAAACCCATCATCACAAACTGGCCGTGTCCCCAATCTGATGTCTCCAACTTTCTATAGTCCGATCGTATCCATCTCCACATAATCTTTATGGGCGTTTAACTATATTTCATTGTGAAATTAAAAAAAAAAATGTAAACCTTTATTGTTATAGTAAAAGTTGATCTTGAAAAATAAAGTTTTTATTTTTCATCATAAATACAAATCGAAGTTAGTTTTTACTTTTTCCGAATAATTTAGTATAAAAAAACTTTTTGTTAGTATTTAAACTCTTAAGAATTCTGACATTTTAAGAATTTTACGAGCAAATGTGTTTTTTTTTACAGAAATTCCAGGATGAAAGAAATTTATATAATTTGGGCCAATTTCATATAATTGGACCAATTTAGGGTTCAAACCTAACTTCAGAATCGATTTTTGGGTTGAAGTTATGTAAACATTCTAAATGCCCTAATTTGCTGACAAGCGTTTTTGAGGGAAAAGAGACTCTTTTTTCAGTTTAAATTAATGATAAATCAATTCCGAATTACGTCAACTTTAGGGGTTTTTTTTTCCAAGTGGCTGTAACGTTCCCATCTTTGAAATGATGTTAAGGTTTGTACTTTATTTCTAATCTTTAATTCATATACTGTATTAGGTAGTGAATTCAGAAATTTTTATTAAAGATTATCAATAATTATAGTAAAAATAATAATTATGAGATTAATAGGACTTGACATATAACCTAAAGGAATTTTACAACCGCGTATTAAAGCAAAATTTAATCTTTATATACCATGTTTTTGAGTATATATTATTTTTGAGTTGCTTGGTATGTTGCAATGTGGCTAAAAGAATTTATTTATTTTATATAATAATATTTAAAGTAGAAAGTATAGTCAAGGTAATAAATGAGTAGTTTGTCATCTTGGAAATCAATGGTCCTTGTTCTTGTAGATGTTTTTTCTGTAGAATTATTTATATAAGTACATTTTTTCTTGGTATTTGGTCCACAGGAAGATGAGCTACATTACTAGTGAGTATTTGGCATCTCTGCTTACTCTCAGTGTTTTGAGGATGTGAACGTGCCACGTATCTGAGATGTAATAGAACCTAAAAATCAATGAGTTGTAGATAATGAGTGGACCCTTTAAGCAATAGAAAAATCAATTGACATCATTAAATTAATGTATAGTAGTTCACTCTTTTTCCCTTAAAAGGAAATGTTAAATGGTAAAATCCCCTTTTCATTTTCCGTTTTCCTGTTCACACATCCTGTTTAAAGAGGAAAAAGATTTGATTTTTATCACCAATTTTGTGAGGTTGTACTTGTTTTACAATAAAATATAGTATTAGTATATACTATTGTTTTGTATATTTCCTAAAGCTGCAGTATCTGACTATCTGTTGTGTGGTTTGTGGTTCTTTGTTTTTTTGCTCTTTAGCTGATATACAAGCTCAGGTTAATGCTTTTTTCTCTGTTGATATTATTTTGAGCGGTGCTGTTAGTCTTTGTTCAGATATCTTATGTTGGAAAACAGGTTGGTGTTTCGAAAGGTGATACTAGTAGAGTTGTGTGAGGTTATGTTTTGATATTTTTGTGTTGTAAAAATGAGTTCTTGATTCAATATGGCTATGTTGGAAGTAAGGGGTTGTGTTAGGAGTTTGAGGATTTTCCAGTTTCTTGATTGTGTGGGTGTTATGTGCATTGTCCTATATGGATAGTAATGGAAGGTTCATCTCAGTCTGGTATGGAGAGGTCTGAGAGTTCAAGGGGTTTGAATAGTTCAGGTGTTGTGAATTGGAATTCAAGATTTCGTTCTGCAAGTACTATCAGGTTGTCTAGTGATGCATCTCATGATTCTGGATTTGTTTCAAAAGAGTGGGAAAGAATTGAGTCATCTGATGTTAATTGCTTTAAAGATCAAGGGGTTCGAGGAATCGATCGTAAAGATGTTAGTTTGAGGCATTGGTTGGATAATCCAGAGAGAACTGTTGATGCTCTTGAATGTATGCATATATTTACTCAAATTGTAGAGATTGTAAAACTCGCACATACTCAAGGGATAGCTGTTCATAATGTGCGGCCATCATGTTTTGTTATGTCTTCATTTAACCGTGTTGCGTTTATTGAATCTGCTTCCTGTTCTGATTCGGGATCGGATTCATGTGAAGATGAACCAAACAATTCATCTTCACCTTTGCAACTTGAGATGATTCCTGGGAAGGACTCTGCTATAGCATCTGAAAGCAGTTGCTTGCAGTCAAGTTCAGGTCATATGGTGCAGACTTTGGAAGCTAGTAAGAATAGACAAGAGGAGGAAAACAACAAGCATACTTTTCCAATGAAACAGATATTGCACTTGGAAACTAATTGGTATACTAGTCCAGAAGAGGTTAATGATGCTCCAGGCACTTGTGCTTCAGACATTTATCGACTCGGAGTGCTTCTGTTTGAGGTTAGTAGCAATAGTTAGCAACTCCGTGGCATTGAGGTGTGTGCTCAGTTAAATTTTACTGTATCCTCCATGATGATGCTGTCTTAATGATGCTTATAATTTGTGAGCAGCTATACTGCACCTTCAACTCATCAGATGCGAAAATTGCAAATATGTCATGTCTAAGACATCGTGTCCTACCCCCACAGTTGTTGTTGAAATGGCCTAAGGAAGCTTCATTTTGCTTATGGTTACTACATCCGGATCCAAGTAGTCGGCCAAAAGTGGGGTGAGCATTCTGTTTTTTTACTTCCACTTGGTTTATTCGTTTTTGCCAAAGAGAGTTTTCCTTCAGGCATGCCAGTTTTTATTTGTCTGCAATCTGATCAGTTTGTTGTTGAAGTCTTCTAGGAGTAATGCTTACTGATATATAACATTATCCTTGAGAACCTTGATTGTGGTCCTATAATTCTTGATTTCCGAAGTGTTTACTTATTAAGGTTTATGTTAGAGTATCTATTTCCCTGTGTGGCACAAAACTCGAAAGGGAAGAATCATGGGTATTAGGTTATGCAGGAATGAAGATTCTAGCCGCAGGAACAAAGGCAAATGCAGCAATGCGAACTTATCTTTTTGCTATTAAACTAGAAAAAAAAAATAGTACATGTCTTGCAACAGCAGTATCCTTTTTTCTTAATTAAGAATTGATCAATATAATGGATCTAGGTTAGTGCCTTGGGAGTAGGAACATTTTCATTGTAAGAAGTAAACTAGTTACATCCACCGAGGGGAGGGTGTTTATATATGATCAATATAATGGACAGCATTATATTTCATGCATAACTAGCTAACCAATAAGCAGCTCTATCGTCCTCTGCGGACGGCTTGATTCTGCAGTTCCATGGTTGCCTCTTCAGCATCTTGCAATCTGTTCTAAAAGCTTTGTCTCAATACAATCTGCAATATCATTGCTGATTTCCTTGACAATTTCCATCTTTGAAACTTATTAATTACATCTGTAGTGGAAAGGAGGGTAAGGGAAAATGATTCTAATATTGATGGTAAAATGAAATAGATAGTAATGACATAAAAGTTATCTTCAAATGAGTACTATCTGACTGAATGAGTCCCTTTTATCTATTCATGAAATTCATTTCAGACATCTCACTGTTCTCCTGAACTTTCTACTTCCTCTGCTGCTTTCAGCTGGTTTTCATTAAAATGAATATTATGCAATTGATCATCTTAACATCAATATCCTTGACTCTTTGCCACTCTTTTCCTCATTCCTTACTTTAAATTGATGACAGTGAGTTGCTAGAAAGTGAGTTCCTTAAAACTCCAAGACATGACTTGGAAGAACGTGAAGCAGCAATAGAGCTTAGAGAAAAAATAGATGAGCAGGAATTATTGCTGGAGTTCCTTTTGCTAATCCAACAGAAAAAGCAGGAGGCTGTGGAAAATTTGCACGAAATCGTGTCTTTTTTATCGTCTGATGTAGAAGAGGCCACTAAGATGCAGACAGCCCTCAAGTTAAAAGGAGGCTCAAGCGTAGAACCAGCAGAAGAGGCCACTGAGATGCAGACACCCCTTAAGATGAAAGGAGGCTCAAGCTTAGAACCAGCTAAGCATTTGAATTCTCGGAGGACAAATATTACTGAAGATCATGATTCAGGGAGCTCTGGATCTAGAAAGAGGTCTAGGCCCAGCACAGGTGAGGAGTCTGATGGCCATCCAGATGAAAGCCAGAAATTCGAAAGGCATATTGAAAATAAAAGCAGCATTTCGGCAAAAAGTTCCCGGTTGATGAAAAACTTCAGAAAATTGGAGGCAGCTTATTTCATGACGAGACGCAGGGTTATTA